CAAAGTGAAAAGAGGCTGGGCTGGCTCTGCCAGTTAAGAGACAAAGAGAGCCAACGGACAGGCGGCATGTTAGAACATCCAGGGCAAAGCAGCTCATCACTGCAGTGTGTCCAGCCTGACAGAGTGCGCCAGCCACTTGGCACCCGTAGCTGTCCACGTTAACTAAATTCAAGTAAGATTACAAAGGCAGTCCCTCAGTCACCCAGCCACACTTTCAGTGGCCTGTGGCCACGTGTGATGGACAGTACCACACTGGGTAGCAGAGGCGCAGAATGTCCCTCACCATAGGAAAATCTCCTGGACGGTGCTGAACCAGAGCAACCATGCGGTCAGATCTGGAAAAAAAGAAAAAAGAAAAAAATTAGTCTATTCTGTACCCACTGACAGAAACGAAAGGTTGACTTTTTTGGACCGATATCCTTAACTATGTTTTCAGATTTTGGATTTCACAGATCAGTGAAATACTTTTTCTTATTTGGGGTTGCCAAGTTTATACTCAAGCAAGGCTGCCACCTTTGTTGTAGGGCCCGCCAAGGCAGGCACCGTGCCTTTTCACTGCCCGGCATCATTTAGGTATAGGCCCTGTACCTAAAACAATGCCCGGTGTATGGTATGTGCTCAGTAACTATTAAATAAGTGATTATACAGGCACACACAGACATCCCTACTTTTTTCGTTTTATTTTTGGTGAAAACTCACCTGAAAGGTCTTTGGGTTCTACACACACACAAAGCTGGATTAACTCACAAAATGAATATGAGTCATCTTTTTCTAAGAACTTTACATTAATAAATACTTGTAACAAAATATAACAAATCAGAACGGGCTTCTCTAAATTGTGTATTTCACAACTAACCTGAGGGGCAGTGAAGGGGGGGGAAGAGACTGTTAGCTTTTCAACAGCACCAGAGTGCCCTCTTGTGCTAAAAGAACATACTTGTGTGGTCTCAACTTTTAAAAATAGTTTCTAGCAACACATTAAAACCTGAACTGACATGTAATTATTCTGAGAACTAGCCCAAATATGTATACCAATCACTATAAAATCTGGCCAGTTGTATTGGTGAAAAAGATAATTAAGAATGATTTGGGGACTTCTCTGGTGGTCCAATGGTTAAGAATCTGCCTTCCAATGCAGTGGACATGGGTTCAATCCCTGGTTGGGGAACTAAGCCCACACACTACAAATTCTGAGACTTCGAGGCACATAGAAAGAAACCGGCTTACCAGTGAGGATCCCGCATGCTAAAACTAAGACCTGCCCCAGCCAAATAAATAAATAAATAAAAAAGAATGATTTGTCACAGAACTATTCAAAAAGGTCATCTACATACCTAAGAAATAGTGAGACCCATGAGAACTGCTCTTTAGGTTTGACATTCTAGTTTGTTTATCCTCTAGTTAAAAATAGAAAACAACCACTACTTTCAGGTTTAAGGCATTGTTGTGCATAGTTTACTCCACTTTTGGTCAAACATCAACAAAAATCTTTGCTGTATCCAATTTATTTTTCAATTTTGATATCCTTTTTTTGCTTACTTATAGAAACCATTCTTTGAAACTCTGTTATGGCTGTACTTTTACACTTTATAAGTAATGATAAATCATACCCACAGTGGATTTCCCATTAAAAGATTAAAAATGGGACTTTGATCATTTAGATGATCTTTGCAAATTTCAACTTGAAACTCTATGGCCTTGCAAGGGCAATGGGCACCAACATTGGTCAGTTTTGGCCAAGGCAGAGCTTTCTGTTTCTCCTGATCCATGTAGACAGAGAATGCCGGTCTGGCCGACAGGGTAGGAAAAGCTGACTTATCCATGATGATCCTATTAAGTGTGGTTCATGTGAAATAAAGAATCACTGTCTGAATGAGACCTCGAGATGCTCACAAATTCTGTCAACAACCCCATCTGGGTGGAGGGGTTCAGAAGATGAATCTTTAAAAGGCAGCCTCAGTGGGAGAAGGCGAGGGGGGAATGTTTCGAGAGAACAGCATCGAAACATGTTATATTATCTAGGGTGAAATAGATCACCAGCCCAGGTTGGATGCATGAGACAAGTGCTCGGGCCTGGTGCACTGGGAAGACCCAGAGGGATTGGGTAGAGACGGAGGTGGGAGGGGGGATCGGGATGGGGAATACATGTAAATCCATGGCTGATTCATGTCAATGTATGACAAAAACCACTACAATATTGTAATTAGCCTCCAACTAATACAAATAAATGAAAAAAAGGCAGCCTCAGATTGCAATTGGCTGACACTAGCATCTGAGCCTCTTGTTTGTAGGTAATTCCTCAGGTGTACTCCTCAGACTGTTAACCACAGCTCTAGAGAATTTAGCAATGAATTTGCATTTTTATTAAATTCTGCAGGTAAAGAACCACTGTGGATATAATCAAGTTCAATACTAAGCAATTGTTAGGAAATGTTGCTTGTGTGTGCTGCCTGCCTTTTGCTTTGTTGTAGACTTTTTTCTTCTTGCGTTATTTTGACCATTCTTGATATGAAGGGTGTTGTCCTGTTTCTCCTCAGTTTCATTTTTTTAATCTAGCTAAACAATCCCACGGGGTATTCTCTATTGCTAATCACTTCCATGGTTTCCTTTTTCCTCTCACAAGTCACTGGACTCGGATCTAAGAATATTCTATGGGTAAGTCTGCCAGTAAATAAAATAGTTCTGATGTGTCGTATTACCCTTTTTTAAAAAGGCCAGAATTACACTCATATATTAAAATAAAGCTATCTATGCTAGCAAAATAAAGACCATAAAAAAGTTTACAATACTGAAATGCATAAACTTCAATTTAGAGACAAGATTTCCTCTAGAACATAATATAGTTACAGACTTTCTAGGACAAACCATCTTTTACTAATGTTAACAGGAAACAATAACCACATTTTTTCTAAAGGCCAGCAAGGTTTTCATTATAAGCTGTTCCATAACACTTATGTATACAATTTTTAACCTTGTGTGTGCATGCTAAGTCACTTCACTTGTGTCCAACTCTTTGCGAGCCTATGGACCGTAGCCCACCAGGCTCCTCTGTCCATGGGATTCTCCAGATCTTCCTGGCCTAGGGACAGAACCCAAGTCAATATCTTCTGCATTGGCAGGCAGGTTCTTTACCACTAGCGCCACCTGGGAAGCCCTTTTAACCTTGTGTGTATGTTAATTTCCAACATTTGGGGCTATTTAAAGTGAGAGCAAAGTTCACATCTGCTGAGTATCCGTTACATACACAGTATTACTTTAAAGGTACTACTTGATATATGCTCATTCAGAAAGCTCCATCCAGAACACAGTGTGTGCTTAAGGGTGACTCCAGCAAGTAGGAAAAAAATCTTCCAGGATGAATAATGTAGGCTATAAAAACTAGCACGGAACACCTGGACACGTCATCCAAGTGTTCTGGGCAAAGAGTGACACAGTTCATTATCTGATGATCCATACTCCATGCCTTTTCCACATCACTGTCTATCTTGAAAAGAGATTATGGAATGTGCTTGCCTCAGTCATTCAGTGCCCACTGGAGACTGGGGGCATGGGAGGAAGAGAAAGAGCCAGGCGGTCAGAGATCTTAGGTTCTGAAGAGTCGGACATGACTGAGTGACCAAACAACAACGAACACTAGGTAAGCAAAAAAGTGAGTGACAGAGTATGTGTGGTATGATCCTATTTATGTTTAAAAATAAACCGTGTGTGGATATGTATGTTATAGAGATATAGGAGAAAACCTGAGAAACTATGTAAAAACTTCCTTGCAAAGAAGAAATTGAGGGGGCTGGAGGGGTGGCCTCACGTTTTACTTTATGGAAGTCTGGATTTGTTTGAAGTTAACCATTACTTCTGGCTTAACAATATACAATTTTGAAACCAAACAGATTTAGGGAGCCAATTTTCTAGGTGGAATATGATAGTTTAGAAATGTCCTTAAAATGTAAAAACCTCTTTCACTTACAAGCCTGTGGGGCATAATAAAGGAAGCACAGCCACAAAACCTGCTTCCAAACGCTCACTCAGGACACTAACCTACATCTCATCCCTGATATCTGTAAGGCTAGCCATGTCTCTTTTCAAACTGTATCAAAAATAACACTGATGTCAAGATGAAGGCAAAATTAACAATCTTAAAAAACACACATAAAATAAGGACTTAAGACAAAACAAATGACTAAAGCAGAGTTCTACTAAACTTTATTCAAAACTGGCCCTACTTCCTAATTGAGATACCCCAAAGTCTAGTGTGCAAATATACCCCATCACATGTTCAAAAATAATCTTCCAATTGGTGCTCTCTGACCCAGATTTGGCACACCTGAATCATCACACGAGTCAGCCACGATGGTCACCTCTTGGTATATATAGCACAATCCTGAAAACAGCACAGGGAGTCAGCTATGACACCGTTTATTAAGCTCTCAAACTGAACTGTACTCTTTGGAAGTTACGCACACCACAACCCACCTTTGCACAGGTAATTTTATTCTCTCCTGTGGGTATCAACAGTGCTCAGAGATTGTAATTTGAAACATTCAGAAAGCACATACCTGAATATTGTCACATTTCTTTACATCACGATTCAGTAACTATTAAACAATTATGTCTACTAAATACAGTGAACAAAATGGCATAACTGTTTACACCATTTCCTTGTAAACAAGGCTTTTGTCACAACAGTAACAAATGGAATTAATGCATACCACAATATGGATGATGAAAGACCTTCTTTTTAAATAAACTATTCAGTTCATAAATAAACTCTGATTTTTTTTTCAGTATACATTTACAGACCTGATCATAAAAAGAAACAAGACATACAGTTTCCTTTTAAAAAGAAATGTGGCAAAATGGACCGCTACTGGAGAAGGCGCCTAGGAGAGGAGGTGAGAAGCAAGCAAGGGGTAAGAGAGTTAGAAGTGCGGCCCTACGGCAGCCCACGTCTGTTAGCAAACACCGACACCCACACGGGGACAGGGCTGTCTGCGGGGCTCGTTTTACTTGAATTCCAGCAAGTTGCAATCGATCTTATAGTACACATAGGGGTAGTATTCCTGTTGACTCAGGTTTAAGCCTGGAATATCCACAGGAGCCTATGGAAAAATCATATGATTATTCAATTAAGCACTTAGAGAAGTGAAAAAAGAAAAAGAAAAAAAATATTACCATTCACAGGCATACCTTGGAGATAGCAGATTCTGATCCAGACCACCGCAGTTAAGCAAGTGTCACCATAAGCCAAGTCACATGACTTTTTTGGTTTCCCATTGCATATAAATGATATGTTTATACTTACTATAGTCTACTAAGTGTGCAATGGCCTTTTGTCTTAATAAACAATGTACCTATCTTAATTTAAAAATACCTGATTGCTAAAAAATGAGAACCATCATCTGACAGTGCACAGTTGTCATAAACCTTCAATTTGTAAAAAGTGCAGCAACTGCAAAGTTCAATAAAATGAAGCACAGTGAAATGAGGTATGCTTGTACCTTCTTAATTAACTGGGCTAAGTTTATACATTTTTCCTAATTTAATCTGAGTTTGACATTGTTAACTTCATTTTGCAAATAAGGAAACCATCTCAGAAAGGCTGACCTGCCCTGGGAAACAGAGCAAGTGAGCAGTAACGCCAGATCCAAGCACTCCGCCCTCAGAGCCTGTGTGGGTTTAACTGTGACTCCACCGTCCTTTTCTACACACACTTAAAAAATTACTTGTTTAGTCTCAGGCTTGGGGTATTGAGTTTATGAGATATAAGGCTTATAAAATGATGGATAAAAATAAACCAACTGTGATTTTTATTGATACCACTTAGTATGTATGCATGTTATAAGAATTTACTGGTATGAAATTATGCTTAAGTTAGATTTCACATATTATCAACAATTCCATGAAAATTTAGAGTCATTTCCTGCATTTTCTTCCATTAAAAAACCTCGATTTTTCTCCCATGGGTTCTAACTAATGCACATGTGAAATACTGCCATTCTAAACTAGAGGAAAAATATCAGCAAGGTATTTGAAACAAAAAATATAAAAGCCTGCTATAATTTTAAACAACAGCAACAACAAAAAGCACACATTTTTGTATGCTTTTGTATGCATAAATGTTCATACTTTTGTTTTAAAAAAAGATATACACCATTTTAGAGAAATGATAATTCCCTCAAAAATGCTCATCTATTGATTCCACTACTTCTACCAAATAGTCACAGAAACGACTTTTTTCTTCCTCTCCGCAATTTGTAATTCTTGTAAACAACTAGTATGATTGCTTGTGTGTGTATTTCTGCAGCTATAAACATCAGATCTACAGCAGGATAATGACTGGCTTTGAGAAATACTGAGAAGCAACTACTACAAAATGGGGTAAGCAAGGTAAATTATTTACTAACAAATTGAGAATCTTAAAGCAATTAAATAACATCTTCTTCCAATAATTTTTTCTGAAATTCATCCAGTTCCTATTCTACCAGGCTAATAAATACTTACATCAATAATAGCTGCTGCGCTGCTATCTAGATGTTTATACAATTCATATAATACTTCTCTTAGTTTCTTCATTGTTTTCTTATTGGGCTGAAGGAGCATTGCTTGGAAGTTCACTGGCAAGCCATACCTTATAAGGAAGCAGAAACACAAGATGTAACACAAGCAAACATATGCAGAGATTTTCTGTTTAAAAGCAAATATTCTCATACTCTTCTTTAATCACTGTTAATGGGGAGAAGGGGCCTCATTTTAATATCCACCTTTACAAGTTCAGAAACTCACAACTTCTCTGGTCCTCACTGTCCATTAGAAATATTTAAAATGAGAGCCAACTGTCTACTAGGAATTACTTTTAATTACTCTTCAATTTTTAAGGTAATTTATGACCATCCTCAGCAGACAGTGATAATGTATAAACTTAGTAGTGTCTCTAGGTATATGCAGGGAATTGGCTCCAGGACCCCCGTGAATACCAAAATCCAAGGATGCTCAAGTCTCTTAAATAAAATGGTGTAAGATTTGTATATAATCTACATATATCCTCCCATATACTTTAAATCATCTCTAGGTTACTTATAATACAATGTAAATGCTATGTAATTAGTTGTAAATAAAATGCAAATGCTATGTAAATCACTGCTAGTGCCCAGTAAACTGAAGTTTTATTTTTTGGAACTTTCTGGAATTTCTTGTTCAAATATTTTCAATCCACAGTTGGTTGAGTCCATGGATTTGGAACCCAAGAATATGGACAGTCAACGTTTGATTCCTTCATGATAATAAAGAATATGAAAAAAAAAAGCATGAGATTACTCATCTACTAGGGAAATTCAAAGAAATTTACAAATAGCATGACGGCAGATAAGTATTTCGAACTATTTCTAATATAAGCAACATGTACAGAGCATCACAAGATGGTTGAGATTTTAAGTATCTCAAAGTAATAAAATATTTTAGGCTACTGTGAAACGAGGACTTCAAATAAGGTATACTGTGTGTCAAACTACATGTAAAATATGTGATAGGTCTTTGATACTGACAATCTCTCCCTCATGAGTAGCCCTTTGGTTTCCCCAAATCAAAGTCCTATTAGCAGACTGTGTTTCAATAAAGAGGTACAATGCCAAGAGATCTATGCATTCGTTAGTTCCAAGTTTCTCAATGAGTTTTCTTTACCTCAAAACAGACTCGACAAAAACTCTCAGAGCTTTCACATGAATCCACGCAATAAACGCCTCACTGAAATTCACTTTCAGCCACCGTACCAGTGGTCCCTGTAGAAAGAAAGAAAGAATCACCACAAATTTGGTCTTGTAAATGGCAGTTAGAAATCAGATAAATCAAGTATTTTTAAAGGAGTGACTATCCAGTGAGAATCTTAAGGAGAATTCAATCACATTATGTGTCTGTGTGCTCAGTCGCTCAGGCAAGTCCAACTCTTTGCGGCCCCATAGACTGTAGTCCGCCAGGGTCCTCTGTCCATGGTTATTCGTCAGGCGCGAACAATCCCTTCTCCAGGGGATCTTCCCAACCCAGGGATCGAACCCAGGTCTCCTGCAGTGCAGGCGGATTCTCTACCAGCTGTGCTACCAGGGAAGCCCTAATCACACTGTAATTGACTTTAAAATGTTTCATCATTCTCATATCTTGGATACTTTACCTTACATTAGATGAAAAGGTTAGCTACTACTGTGTAACCTCAGTAGATACAAACAGCCAGTGACTCTACTCACCACACAGAAAAAGGTGTGTGTGTGCAGTGCATGTGTGTGTATGTGCACTCTTCTTTTGGGGGCCATGCTGCACAGCCTGCAGAATCTTAGTTCCCTGATCAGGGATCAAACTCACGGTCCCTGCAGTGAAAGTGCAGAGTACTAACCACCAGGACTGCCAGGAATTCTCAAAAAGGCATACATTTTAGTGAAAGTCATTTAAAATGATACAGAATATAGAAGTGTCCTATAGATTTGAAAACCAAAGTATAAATATCTTAATTTACTATCCAATACTGTTAAGCATTTAACACATTCAAAATAGAATTACAATTTCTCAGGAACAAGGAAAAATAGTTACATAGTAAGTCATTTAATATTTCTAGGTATTAGTTTTCTCATCTGTAAAATCATGGGGTTGACTTAGACCCCAAGACCTGATCATTATGTTCTAATTTCTTAATGATTCTATTATGTATTGACAGCATAAATTCTTTATGAACTTATTAAACTATTCAGTGTGATTCCTAGTACTAAATAAAAACACCTCTTTAAAGAAACAAACTTCAAACAACTTATTACCATTTCTCCATACTCAAAAGACACACACGGTCAGTTCAGCTAACAAGTTATTTGGGTAATATTACTGGGCTCATTTGGATACAGCAATCAATTTATGCAAAAAGGATAACAACACAACAAAGTGAAAGTCTTTGGTTAAAATATCTGTTCTTTTAAGATTCTGGATCTTCCCCCCAACCAGCTGGTTTTATTTGACATTACTTCGTTAGGGTTAGTTTTCTTCCAACTGAGATGTTATGGTTTATAAAGTACTTGGAAATAACTGTAAATGGAATGTGCTTTTGTTTCCTCTTTCATTACAAGAGAAACACATTTTCACTCATCATGTTTCTCCTTCCATACACTCTTTTAATCTTCACAAAAATCCTTTACTTGAGGATGGCAAGAAAATCAACCCTATCTTTCACTCACAATTCTATCCCTGTTCTCCACTGTGCCTAGAACATACTAAAGTCACCAATGGTTTAAATACAAATTCCTTCAGTAAAAGACTGCAGCATTAAAAAAAAATCTGCCTCAAGAAAATGAAATTTCCTACTGAAAAGAGAGAACAATTACTTAACTAAAATGACCCCTCACTATAGGGGCATTAATCAAAACATTGTATTTAAAATTAACTTTTGATATGGACTTAGAGGGATTAATTTTAAAATATACATTTTAAGATAACAATTCACAGATCTCAGCTTGCTTAAACTCATTTTGACTACTTAATAGAAAAAAATAACTAAAATCAAAATCAGAAATGTTTTTTCTTTTAAAGAAAAGCAGTACTAGTTTTTCTTCTGCTTAACACTGATAATATTAAATATTAAAAACACATACAAATTGCTTTTTCTTGTCAGTAGAAAGCCTGTTCATTTCTTCTTTGTCTGCTTTCATCTCCTCTTCATTATACTGGAAGTCACGGACAATGAATCTAAAGTAGGAAAAAAAAGAAAATCAAAATTGTCCACAGGAAGTACAGGTAATCTAACGAATTTTTTAAAAAAAATTTAAATAACAATCTTACTTGTTTTCCCTGGCTTTGTGTCTGAAGTCATCAACTGCCTTCCTAAACAAGGTGACATTACATAGGTAACTGTCTTGGTCCTCTGAGAGAACACTAGAAAAAGACAGACAAGTCCATTTAAAGCTTTACATTCATTGCTCACATTCATAGTGAGGGCAGAATTCAGAAACAGGGGGAGGAGGAGGAACAAATGGAAAGGCATGGCAGCCCTTCCTGAAGCCCTCAGTGCTTTTCGTCTCTACTGCCTCAAACACTGAGGACACTCAGTCTTTATGTTTTTATTTACAGTGTCTTAACGGGCCCCTCGTACAGTTCTTCCTAACCAAAAAAAAAATAAGCATTAACTCAAGAAAAGCTTCCAAACTCTAAGAACCATGATTCTGAATCTATCAGCAGCAGGCCAGCCAAGGACAAACTGTCCAGCAGCTGGCTGGTTCCCAGACGCTCCCTGCTTCGTGGCTAAACACCCTCTTCTCGTCTGGAATCTGAATTCTCCCCTCCTCTCCCCGGCCCTGCCCCCAAGGCCTGGCCCACCCCTTTTAATGTGCGCCCTCTCGAGACTATTACGCTTAGTTCTTGCACCCGGTGCCCATCAGATCCAAAGCAAGCCAGCTACCAAGTGGGCAGAACTTGATTTTAAAAAAACCTTTAATGATACTCAGGTTTGCCAGAACTGACTCAGTAATGTGCAAACTGGGATCAAAACAGAGCCAAATCCAACTTGACAGGCAATCTCAGATCCTAACAATATGCCACCAATATCATATTCATCTCTTAAACTGATCTTATAAAATCTCAGCTGATCTTTGAAACTTTAGTCCTCTGCCGTTTTGAAGGCCCATGCAAACAAAGGGGTGGGGACCACAAGTGTGGACAATGGCAGATTCGGTGGCAGTGAAAAAGATGGAAAGAAGGCTGAGTTACAGTTTAAGATTTCAGACGTAAAGCCTTTCTAGAGGTTAAGGGTGAGACCAAGGGGGACAGCATGCAGAAACCAAGCGGGGATAACAGTCTGCGAGCTGCAGGTCTGACGCTCCAAACTCTCTGCATTCAGTTCTCCTGTTGTGTACAAGCACTAACAGTATATTCTCACCCGTGTAACCAAGCCAAGACGAAACTCAGTCAGTGCTTCTCAGCCGTCTCATGGCATCTTCAGTCACCCATGGCGTGGCAGTGCTTCTGGAGCTGACGAGCTCTTCTACTCTCTGCTTACCTCTCTCCCGAGGCTCAGTCCTGCCATCTGCTCTGCTCCAACCGACTGACCCATTTCACTGCCAAAGCCATCTTTCCTGCTTTTCTTCATAAATTATCTTTGCAACCCCCGCTCCAAAGCACAGATGAAACTTTTCTCTGCCCAGTGGCTAGTGTCGTTTTTTTCTAGGTCTTCCTTGCTAGCATCCTCTGCTTCATCTAGAGCTCTAGCTTCCTGAACTTTAAAGCTTCCGCGAAGCACCACCCAGTCTGTGGTGCTGTTTCCCACAAGAGAGAAAAGGCCAGAGTCAACCAATGATCTGACCCAACCAGTCTATCTGGACAGGCAAAAGTAGAAAGACAAACAGCTAAGCGGTAATTATGAAACTATAAGAGAAAAGCACCTCTTTTTGAACAGTTTTTCCAACAAAAAGAAGCAGAACAACAGTCTAGCCTCCACTTTTTTGGCTGTGTGAACTCTGATGCGGCATTTATACATGTCTTTGCACTTAGCCACCCAATGACGGCAGTATTTCACATGGTCCAATCTTTCAAGACTTATGGAGAACATTTTGCAAATAGCTAGATTTTATGTGTTTAAGTGAAATTATTTCTTTGGGTTTGAAGATGGTCTTTTTCAATCTATTCTTCTTCCTCAAAAGTCCACTTTCATCTTCACTGCTTCCAAGAGTAAATCACTCAAGTATTGTGTCAAAAAGCAACAAGTGACAGTGTTGCTACTTAAAATTCACTTTAAAATAAGACACTTAGAAAAATAACTAGCACATAATAATTACTCAAAAATGTTAGTTATTAGTATAAGCAAAAAATCCAGCATTAGGTCATAGAGCTCTTTCCTGAACAGTGTATAAAATTTCAGACTGACCCACTAAAACCTGTTTGCCTCACATAAACTAACCATCCTCTTCAGGGCTGGCTGAGTTACCGCCCTTTCTCAATGACTACTCAAACACCTTTTCAAGGATGTGATCTGAAATCAGTCTTCAGAACTGCTAAATAGATGAACAGATGTTTTCACTGAGTGAGGAAGAGCTGAAGGTGTTCAGGTGGTCAGCGGACACTTGGGGTCATTCAGAAAATAGGTTATTGCCTATACTCAACCGGCAGCATCTGAAATTTTTTCCTTTAAACTACTAAAGTGATTTTCAAAAGATGTAAATCTCTGAAGTAGTATTTCTAAACTCCTTCCCGAGTAAACCTGGGCTTACACACCACTCCCCTGGACCCAGGCCGGGCTCCCCACAGGGCAGGGGGACATGCCACGTGCACTGCGTCCTCACGCTCCTCCTCCCCACCCCCGCCCCCATGTCAGGTCAATCTCTGTGGCTGTAACGGTCTCCAAAGAACAAGGTTTAATGTGTCACCTGTCTGGATAAACAGCGTCAGAGCAAAACTAGTATCAAGATACAACCTCAATCTTCAGTTTACCATGTGAAGGGCCAGTGTGAATGGAAAGCACTCCCCAAAAATGGGAAAAAAATTCACAATAAGCACAAGTTTGTGGTTTTGTTCTCAAAAAAAAAAAAAGTCAACAGCTGTGAAACAAGATTCATATTACCTTCTACTTTATATACCTTTCCAAAATTATTCATCTATTTATTTTTTCAGCTCTGCTGGGTCTCACTGCCGCGAGGGCTTTCTCCAGCTGCAGCGAGCATGGGCTACTCCTCCTCGTGGTGCTCGGCTTCTCACCCAGATGGCTTCTCTCGGTGCAGGGCACCAGCTCTAGGAACGCAGGCTTCACTAGTTGCAAAGTGTGAGCTCGTAGTTGTGGCGACGGGCTCGGCTGCTCCATGGCATCTGGGATCTTCCCAGACCAGGGATTGAACCCGTGTCTCCCACATTGGCAGGCGGATTCTTTACCACTGAGCCAACAGGGAACCCCTACTTTATATAGCTCACCAAGTCTTAAAAGGACCTCATAATGTGTACAGCGAAGGTGTGATGCTCATTTTACAAAGAAAATGAGGTCCAGAGAAGTGAAAAGACTTACCTTAGGTCACACAGCAAGTTGGTAGCAGAACCAGCAAAAGAACTCAAGATCCCTGGGTCCAGGACTCTTTCCATTATACTAAACTACCTCCCATATGACACAATGAAACTGGAAAAGAGAATATTTCATGGGCCTGGCCTTACTAACACCACTTCTCCACTACATCCCAGACTTTCCCTTCATCATGCTGACATCTCTTAAGGGACATACACACAAAAGAATTCTCTGGGGGTGCATACACACTGTACTTATATTTCCTTGGCAAGTATCTCATGTGGAAAGGCAGAATACAGGAAAAGATGATATGCTATAGTGTCATGAGTGCACAACTTGCAGTGAAAAGACCTGAATTTTTAGTCCTAACTTTGCCATTGGACACTTTTAAGGCCATACGCTTTAGGCAACAACTTAACTCTTCTGTCTTTTTACTTCATCTACAAGAAAAAGTATAACAACTGCCCAAACTACTTCACAGAACTGTTGTAAATATCAAATTAGACAATGAATATTAATCCCTAAGCTCAAAAATGCTTAATAATTGTTTTTTCAAAGGAAAGTACAGATAAGGTAGAATCTATGCTCACTGGAAAGTGATAGTAAATATCTGCAGACCAACACAGTACCCTAGTAACCATTTTGGTATACTTCCTTGACAAGATAAATGGGGAATTATAAACACACAGTAGGTATGAGGTAAGTAGTGAATGATCCTGAGAAGGTTGTCTAGCAGAAAAAGTACCACACTGGAGACCTGGGTTCTGGTTACAGCTCTGCCACTTATGAGATATGTGACTCTGGGCAAACCACTTCAGCTCTGTGGCCTCAAACTTCCACATCTATCAACATGAGTGGGTTGATGAGACTGTGCAAAGGCCCTTCCAAGTCTAAAATCATAATAACTAGAGTTAATATAATTCACTTATTAGGTGAAAAAGATGGTTCCAAAACTATAAAATTTACCACAAAGAAAAGATAGATATTTCCTAATCCAACACCCAAACTATCAAAGGAATTCTAGGAAAGAGCAGGCTTTAAGTCTACTACTTACTTGCTAGACCTTGGAACTACCATTTCAGCTAGTGTTTCATACTGTTTAATCCAGTCGTTGTGGTTTAACCTGCAGAAAAGGTACAATTAAGTTACTAGGAGAGAAAAACAAGTCCTACTTCCTGCCAAACCCAGAAAGAGAAAAAAATTATGAAACAAATAGGAAATTCAACTACAATAAGTATATCTCAAATCTATCTGACAAAAGAAAAATCAAGTTTCCTACAGAGAATGAATTCGAATCCACTGAGAGGGAAGAAGGAAACGTAGCTCACCACCTCTTACACCCAATAACTACTGCACAAGAGGCACACCCTAGAACTCAGTTTGGAAAAGAAGCAAAGCGAAATGGAGATTTGAAATTATTTTCAAACTTTAGGGTTAATTTATATTACCTCACTAAAAAAAAAAGCAGCAGCAAGCAAAGAAGGAAGAAAGAGAAAGAAATGAGAGAGGCAGAAAAAAGAGAGCAGCCATGCTGAAATCACTAATATTTTCATTCAGTGGCCATTAAGAATCGCTGGGTAAAAGCACACTTACTGAAAGCACAGGGTACCAGAAAGCACTGAGCCAAAAAAGCGACACTAAACCAAGCTGCCACGATCACCGTGCAACAGCCTTCTCTAGAGACCACTGGCTTTCGTGGGTGTGGCAAGAGATGATTATGTTTGCAATAAAAAAGAAAGAACTGTATTGACAGTACTGTAGCCAGGATAATAAATAAGCCATTATACAAGGTACCCTAGGTCCAACCCTAGGTTTCAAGTACAGTGTACAGAAAACTAAGAAAACTTCTTTTCTTAAACACAAATTTTAAACAAAGGTCACATAAGACAAATCTTTTTTCTGAGCAAAGGTTATTTCCCTGCATAGTATAAAAACACAAATACAGAGAAAATTTTCAGAAATAATCAGTGTTTTCTTTTCTGCAGTAAGCAGGGAAAGGCAAAAATCAGATGATACTGTCGCCGCTGTAAATTCAACAGAGGTGCTTTCCCACCCCTTTCCAGGAGGCATCATTTTCCTATATTCCCAGTTTCCTAACCAGATAAAAATGAAGAGCAGAGCAAAAGAAGACTTTATGAATAATGCTGAGAAGAGTCCCCAAATCTCCCATGCCAGTTTGGATCCCCCAATGATTTCCTGATGGTAAGATTTCAGTGCAGGTTAGAAATGAAACCATTAACAGTGTTTTCCGCCACCCACCCACACATACAGAATTCTAATCTTCCAAAGATTTCATTTTATCAAGATTAACTATGCCCAAATGTTAATTAATACAGAAGGCCTAATCTAGAGGAGATTTCAAAGAATTATCTGACCCAAACTATGCTCATAACCTGTACCTGTTTATGTAAATAAAGGTTTACTGACACCAGCCACATCACTTCACGTACACACTGGGGATAGCTGCTTTCAGCTACAACCACAAAACTGACATGGCAGAGTTGAGTAGCTGTGTCACAAACCATATGGCTTGCAAGGGGTAAAATACTATTTGGCCTTTTATATAAAAGATATGCTAACCTTTGACCTAATGCAATCCTTTACTTCTTAGAGAGCTTAATTCATCCTAATCAATCATTAAGATTTTTCACAAAAACAAAGAACTTCCTATTTTGAAATATCTAAAAACAGTATTTTTTTAGAAATCCAATAGTTTAGCATTATTTAATTTTTTAATGGGTCAACTCTACTAAGTTAAAAAAAAGATACACTATGGTTGTGATAAAAAAAATAAATAAATTAAAAAAAAAAATAGAATCTCAATTTATAACTGACATCTCCATTACCAGGTTACAAACTAAATTCCACTGTATGTGCCATATGAGTATATGTTGGTTGACAGAACAAATGACAAGGTGATATTCCATTTACACTTGGGTTTTGTGGAAAACTTCAAATTACAGTATCAGACAGTAACATTTTTCTTGTATTTTAATAAGTAAAAACCTTCTGTAATGAAAAGACATACTTGGGAACTACGACCAGTAATGTGACGAGATATTCTGAGTCAAGAACAAAGTCATCCTTCTTCACAATTTCTGCTAGACTTCGAGTTAGCAAACTCCCTCTAAGGAATAAAAGAAAGATCATTAGGCTGATAATTATGTGGTTCCATAACACAAGTAAAGATATAGCAGGCTAAGTATAGGTACATATACTATACATACATCTCAAGAGGGATTAGCCTGAGTTAACATTTTTATTTGATATATCAAGAAGCCAAAATTTAGCTGAATATTTCCCATAACTAAACCCAAAGAAATGTCAAATTTTTATCAGAATGTGCCTCTAGTGTCTCCCTTTTTGTTTGTTTTCATTATTATAACTCAGCTCTTCTCTTGATTACATATATAATGTCTTGACTGGGAAAGTGTTACTCATTAGGCATCAATTAAAGTCTACCTCACCATAATTATGAAATCGTATCATCTAAGCACAACCTTTGATTTTCCTCCCTCTCCTTGGGTATTAACTGTGTTTAGTTAGCCCACCAATCAGCTCTTTGAATGCAAGTCTTCATCTGGTCGCCCAGTAGACTTCACACTGAAAATGACTTGCCCTGCTCGCACCCCTGACAGGACAAGTCAATTCTGCCTCTGGGATACGAATGTATACCTTGAAGAGTTAAGTGCTTAAAGCAACACTTGTGGTAGTCATACTACGGTGAGATCAACCAAAAGAAGAGTGTTATATTTTAAGAAAACCTAACATAAAAAAACTGAAACATAAAAAGAGATAAAAATGGAAACAGATTGGAAAACAGAGAAATCAAAGAATGAGAATTACATAAAAAAGGATTTTCCTATAGAATTCTTTTAAACAGCAGATAATTGCTATGTAATTAAATTATGATTTAATTTAAAACAATTAACTTTAGATAATTTTTACAGTGAAAAATCAGATGGATAAAGGGTAAACCAGGACCCAGTTCAGAAGCAGTATGTATGAAACGAGCATAATAAATCAGCCTCACATCTGTTTTGACTAGCCTGAATTAATGAGTTTTTCTCCATGAAGTGAAAAAACACCATCTGACTATAGAAATGGCACAAACTGGAATGTACTAAAACCCCAACAACAGTTTATCCAGTGTACACTACGCAATGGTCCCCGCCATCTTCGGCACTGGGGACCAGTTTCACAGAAGACAATCTTCCCATGGGCCAGGGAGGCGGGGCTGGGTGGTTCAGGATGATTCAGGCCCACTGCATTCATTGTGCACTTTATTTCTAGTGTTATTACATCACCTCCAGCTCAGATCATCAGGCATTATATTTCAGAGGCTGGGGACCCCTGTGCCACAGTGTTTCTCCAATTCTAAATCAGTCACGTATAGTGGACATGCTTACGCATTCTTTCGTTCCAAATTCTGAAGATTCCCTTTCAGGTTGTTGTATGCGGATGCTCGAGATTTCAAGTCATTGTCAATCTGAGTCACACCCTTTACAGGAGAAAGAAGAGAAGTAGGGAGAATCTTCCTAAATCTGCCTTTAGTAATACAATTAAAGTAGTTGTGCCTAAACTTTAAAAAACAAACCCACCACTAGTTCCTGATGTAAGAATATTCTATTATTTTAAAGGCATTATTTTCAAAGGTCATTAAAAACATAACCCACTTCATTTTTAATAACTATGGGAACTTTCATATAATCTTTTCTACTAAAGATAATGTTTAGTCTACATGTATTTTCATTATTGTTACTATATTCTTAAACCATGTAAATGAAATCTAGGACACTGATTAAAGACATGACTGATTAAAAGGTTTTAATACACAAGTCTAATGAGTTAATTTCCAAAGGAACGAAATCATACAGAGTTTTGCTGTTTATAACACCACCATTCTTACACAAAACATTTTTGCAATGAAATTAAAATTTTGCTTCAACTTATTTATAGATGTTACACAAGCTGATTTTTCAAAAAGATGATTAAAACTACTAACAATATAAGGAGAAAACACAAAGCAGTAGATTTAACATTTGAAGAACTAATTTCAACTTAGCTCTACCATTATCAGCTGTGTGGCACTCTGGGGTAAATCACTTCACCTCTCTGAGCCTGTTTCCTCATCTATAATAGCATCAGGAAGATGATGACTAAATCCTTGATAAGGATTAAAAGAAAATAATGCCTAGTCATAATAAGAACACCACTTTATATTATCTGACTACTCATTTTCATTAAATTATTTGACCCTGAGTTAAAATCCTTGATAGACTATTTATTTACATTTAACGACAGCATCACCGACTCGATGGACATGAGTCTGAGTGAACTCCAGGAGTTGGTGATGGACAGGGAGGCCTGGTGTGCTGCGATTCATGGGGTCGCAAAGAGTCGGATAGGACTGAGAGACTGAACTGAAGCACAGGGCACAATGTACAAATAAAGTCAGTTGAAGCTAAGGAAGTTTGTCCAAATGATTTAAACTGTACTGTTCATCCTACCCAGGTCATAGATATGTTGTCAAACAGTGAATAGGTCCTTGTCTATTGCCTCATTACAGTTTCAGGTAAAACTTTTACATTTTTCTCTCAAGCTCAAGGACTTTGCAACATAAAAGGGATTCTCAGTTTAGTGAGTTCATGAATGGATTTTCAACACCTGTGGACTCCCTGAAACCGTTCATAAAATCACTCAGTACGAGAATACGTACTGAGTAGGGAATCAATACTGAATGTCAGAAGGCGTCAGAGAACCCCTTAAGTTTAATCTGAATCTGTACTGTACGTAAACATACTTAAGTGACCATTATCATATATCTGAATGATTTGTAAATCTCTAATCAATTCCAATTTCTAATTCTGTGATCTCAGTTATGCTTAAAATTTATAATTATAAAAATTTATAATTATAATTTATAATTTTAAAGTTACTTTTCTTACTCAAACATTGTTGATGCAACCTTTAACTTAACCACTTAAAAAAACAAACTACACACGTGGATAATGTGCATGTGAAAGTGTTATTCTTTTCTGACAACTTTCTTTTTTAAGTAAAGTTGCAGTGAGTCACATACAATTAAGTTGCCTTGTCAAAACCTAAATTAGAGTACTTAATAGCTAAATACTTATAAAATAAATAGAATCACTATAAATCAATGTGTCCTACCTGTGTCATTTTTTTATCTTACCTTGGCAATTATTTCAGAAATATTTTTCAGGGACTGCTTGATTGGATATTTAGCCATGTCCCACTGAAACCTTGTTATATAAGTAACCAAGTCAACTGAAATAAGGGAAGAAATTAATTACTGAGAAGCAATAGCATTTTTTATAGTTTGCTACACAGTAATGCCAAAATTGGCATTAAGAAATCAGTAAAGATATCATTTGTGAGGGTTAAATGTGGGACTGTATTAGGCAACATGGATTAATCAAAATTTTTACCTGTAATCTGACTGAATTCTCTTCTCCTTACTCTAAATTTAACATATATATTAAAACGCTCCTTCTAACTTGATGACTTAATAAATGGAATATGTACATACCCACGATACATGGAAAGGTGAGAGACACAGAGTTTGAGAAGCTACTGCAAAGTGTCTCAATAAGAAGAATTTGACAAAAGTATGTTATTTCTTTGCAACTTGCCCAAACAAACTGAAAATGAACTTGTCTGTTAAAACCATGTGATGACTGTTTCTAGGAGTCTATATTTCAGTAATATTCAAAACATGGACCTTTTCACTTTCAAATGAAAAGAATAAAAAACGCAAAGCCAAAGAGAAACTCAACAACTAATTCCCTGGAAGGCTGGTAGTCAAGATGACTTTATCCCTCAAGCCTGAGGAGATCAAGGTCAGAGAACTCAAATGTCAATTATAGTTAACTAGCAAAAGTAATTCATATCAAAATATCTTCTCTTCTCAACTTCTCCTGACAGAATACCAGCAAGTCAGCAACATATCTGGTATTTTCAAAAACAGTTTTGGATCCAATGTCCCCTAGATTATGACCTCCCCATTCAGGCAAGTAGACTGACTGCCCTAGTTCATCAAGTACCTGGAGATCAGCGAAGGCACCTAAGTTAACAAATCTAACTCCCGTCCTTCTGCCCCAGCCACACATTAACAGAAACAGTAAGCAGGTCAGGGTTGCTATTTTAACAGAGAGCAAAAAGAAACTACTGACTGTTTCTAACTGAGTAAGTACTTACTGAACATCTATGATTTGCAAGGGAAAGAAGCGAGATCAGAGAAACACTGAATTTGAAACGCAGTGGCCACTGAGAGTTAGCCAACCTCCAAACTGCTGCCTTGGCACCCACCTTACGTGGCCAAGTAGCCAGCAGGGGCCTAGAAATCACACTAGATAGCAGCCCTCCTGGCTAACAGCCCGAGATAATAGCCTGCAATCACAAGAAAACGTAAGCTCAGCTCCCGGTCTGATTTCTGATACCAACCTTTGATAAGCATTCTCCCCTGCTGCCCAGGACCTCTCCTTCTAGTGGACCCTTTAGATAAGACCCCCTGGGGCATGAAATGGCAGCTCACTCCAGTATTCTTGTCTGCAGAATCCCATGGACAGAGGAGCCTAGCAGGCTGTAGTCCATGGGGTTGCAAAGTGTCAGACACGACTGAGCATGCACAGGGCTCTTCAAAGTTAATCAAAATTCCCCTTTTTAGATTGAATTGACCAATCAGGACTTGGCTTGGGAATCCCAAATCACTCCACCCATGGACCCTAATAAAGGTATGTGCCCCAGGTCCTACTGTTCTTCCTGTCTGCACACCACCCTGACCTCCCTGCATTGCTCCCCTCCCTCCAGGACCTATGAGTAATAAACTTCTCTATTTCTCTTTCCCCTGTGGTCATTCGTTGAACTGTGGCTCACCATCCTATGATAACTCAGGGCTCTAGCTAACAAATGTTAATTTATCATAGTGACCTACCACAGTAGGCTACAGGACAGAAAGAGAGGAAAAGACTGTTTCTTATTTTAATGACATATCATTAAAGATCCAACCAGTCAATCCTAAAGGAAATCAGTACTGAATATTCACTGGAAGGACTGATGCTGAAGCTGAAACTCCAATACTTTGGCCACCTGATGCGAAGAACTGACTCACTGGAAAAGACCCTGATGCTGGGAAAGATTGAAGGCAGGAGAAGGGGATGACAGAGGATGAGATGGTTGGATGGCATCACTGCCTCAATGAGTCTGAGTAAACTCTGGGAGTTGGTGATGGACAGGGAGGCCTGGCATGCTGCAGTCCATGGGGTCACAAAGAGTCGGACACGACTGAGCGACTGAACTAACTGAACTGAACTGAATTGAAAATGAAACACATGCTAAACTGATATTTTAGGAAAAAAACAACAAATGCAAGAACAAGTGACAATGATGCACTTGAAACCATCTTTATAAAGCTATTATTACACAGAACAAACTTTATGTAAATATTAGTTTCTAGCTATTGACAGGTCAGTAGTAGACTATTCTATGGGTACTAAAGAAATGCCATATGAAATTTGAGGGGAAGAGGCATTACTCTGAAATAAGATTAATAATTTTTATTCTAAAGCTTCTGTAGTTGGACGCAATTAAATACAAAAAGCTAGAGGAAACTGTAAGTATTCAACTGGAACAATGCTGAGACACATAACTCAGAAACACACTTTTAAGTGGAACTGACAGGTAGATCCTGGAAAGAACTAAGGTAAATCCTTATGATACTGCTCTTGGAAGGATTCATATTCAAAACAAAAAAAAACACACTATATATTATTTAGGACTGTCTTATGAGAGGTGTTTCAGAGGACAGAATGTAACTGGCAGTATAATCAAATTGTTAATAATAATTCTATTTTAATGGCTTTCTACTGCATTTAATACCCTTATCTATAGATCTTTTTTATGTCGTTCACTTTACTGAAGTCAATATCAAATCATGAAACATTAGCTTACCTCCATTGGCCAACAGGTTCTCCTGAACTTTATCTTTACTGTCCTCCAATACGTCAGCCATATATTGAGCCACTTTCTTAACCACCCTTAGGAGAAAAAAAAAAATCAGTGGTCACTTTCAGGAAAACAACCTAAATTCCATGCTACAAAATGAATACATTCCATGAACACATGAATTTGACTCTCTTTGTTTCTGTTACACCACCTGTATAATAATATTAAACAACTGGTCCTGGGGATCGGGATGGGGAACACATATAAATCCATGGCTGATTCATGTCAATGTATGGCAAAAACCACTATAATATTGTAAAGTAATTAGCCTCCAACTAACAAAAATAAATGGGAAAAAAAAAAAATTGGGGCCTAACTTTTAAAATAATGTTAAGGACAAACTGAACCAAGATTTTATAATATGTAAAACTCAACTGAGTAATTGTAGTTTTAAGGAGACCACCTGCAATATGTTTATCAAGTCTGGAAAGAAAGTAGTGGAATGTTGGCGAGGGTAAGCGGAAAGAGTGTGCAACAGATCTCACCGCCCTGCAAGAACAAAGTGGGAAGCAGGAGCCTGCATTCATCAGATGCTTACTTCCCCTCAGGACAAAAGGGATCCGACAGGCAACAGAATACAAGCAACAGTGCAGTCTTACATTATTTATTCATTACCTACTTACTGAGCATCTACTATTTGAGATTCGTTTTATTGTTGTTTAGTTGCTAAATCATGTCTGTCTCGTTTGTGACCCCACGGACTACAGGCCGCCAGGCTCCTCTGTCCACGGGACCTCCCGCTCAATGCTAAAGAGGAAATAACCCATGGTGCCAAACTACTGAAGCAACTGCGTATCACCTTGTCAACCCCTTTACTTTATAAACACACCCAAGTATGAAGACAATAAGTGATTTAGTTCCAAAAGTCACAAAACCAGTTCCTGGCAGAGCGGTGACAGAAACCTGTCATCCTGATTCTGGTGTTCTATGTTCCTTCCCCGTTCCTTGCCCACCTATGGGCCATGGGTGGGATATGTGAGTTCAGTCCAGTTCAGCTGCACAGTTGTCTCTGACTCTTTGCTACCCCATGAACGGCAGCACGCCAGGCCTCCCTGTCCGTTACCAATTCCCAGAGTTTACTCAAACTCATGTCCATCAAGTCGGTGATGCCATCCAACCATCTCATCCTCTGTCGCCCCCTTCTCCTCCTGCCTTCAATCTTTCCCAGCATCAGGGTCTTTTCAAATGAGTCAGTTCTTCGCTTCAGGTGGCCCAAGTATTGGAGTTTCAGCTTCAACATCAGTCCTTCCAATGAACACCCAGGACTGATCTCTTATAGGATGGACTGGCTGGATCTCCTTGCAGTCCAAGGGACTCTCAAGAGTCTTCTCCAACACCGCAGTTCAACAGCATCAATTCTTTGGTGCTCAGCTTTCTTTATGGTCCAACTCTCACATCCATACATGACTACTGGGAAAACCATAGCCTTGACTAGACCGACCTTTGTTGACAAAGTAATGTCTCTGCTTTTTAATATGCTGTCTAGGTTGGTCATAACTTTCCTTTCAAAGAGTAAACATCTTTTAACTTTATGGCTGCAATCACCAGCCATGAAATTAAAAGACGCCTAAGTATATAAGACAAAACCATCTAGCTTCCCAATGCTTAAAATTGAAATGGAGAAACATTAATACCAAAAAAGACGGATGACTAAATTCAAAGCAAATCTGTGGTGAGTGACATCTGAGATGACCAGGTCACAAACAGAGATGTATAAAGGAAAAAGATTTCACTTCCAGCAACTATAATCAAAAAAGCATAATGGATCAAGAGCAGGGCAGTGAAGGACAGGAATGGTTTTGAAAGGCTGATTAAGCATGAAGAATGTATATTCTTGCCACAGGGCATCGTATGAGTCAAGATCTGGAGAGAGAGAAAAGCAATAAATGAGGAGGGGTCCAGACAGTCTGGAGTGTCATGCTGGGGAGAAAGGGAGGTTGGGCTAGGAAGGCAGGCTGGGGTCAGACTGCAGGTGGATCGCCTCTGATGGCAGTCAGCAGGAAGAGGCATAACAAACATGGTCAGGACTTGGGACAATTTCTCTAATGACTTCTGTGTTTAATGGCAGGGAGTGTAAACTGGAAGACAAATTAAGAAACTCCTGCAACATGAACCAAGAAAGGCCAGGAAAAGGCAACAGAAGGACAAAATGTGAATGACAAACCTAAGCTGAATGACCTCAATCCTAAGAAAGTGCAACAAATTCAAGAAAAAAATGATGTAAACTATAGGTCTTCAACATGCTTAAACCTGGGATCTGTACATACACTTGGCTGTATCTCCAAAATTCACCCATTCCTTCAAAGACGAACCATTATTCCCATATAACTTGAGGAGCATCTTGCAAACAGAACCATGTGCTATGAACATTCAAAATGCACATGTTCACAACACTGCAAATCAACTATACTTCAATTTTAAAAAAAGTGCAGGTTTACCACAGAAAACAGTTCAGAGTGTAAAACTGCCTAATATCAAATTTATCAACATTACATAACTCAGAAATTCACAATCTCCCTCTGCATCTCTACAAGAGTAGCTATGACATATGGTCACCTTTAAAAAGAAAAAAAAATACAGTTCTAACAGTTAGACCACTGAAAAAGTACAAACTATAATTTACTCCACCACAATGTTCAAACTTAAAAAACTGTAACACGGTAAGCTAACATCTATCAATTCTACCAAAGTCTAACAACTGTATGATTTTTTAAATTCCTCAAATCTTTCAGGGAGACTGATAAAGACAAGATTGCATAACAGTGCAAGATAACAGCAGAGCATAACAGTGCATAAGAACTGCATCTGCGTGACACTTAATTTCCTAAAAAAATGTGCGCCAATGTTATACTATATTCAGGACATCCTGCTGATGATTTAAAGAAAAATCTAGAAAGCTATCAAGGTGATGAATAAGGTTCCAAATAAGTGTTGATAATTATATTTCCAGAAGCCTCCCTTCCCAATGTCTCTTCCCTTGTCATGACTTAACATTGTAATGAGGTAGGTGGGACAGCAGAAAGGACAATCACCTCAAGGTGCAAACACAGAAACTTTCCTCAAACCCTTTTATTAATTAAAAACTTATATTAAGAAACCAAGAGACAATTCTTACAATGGGTCAGTTTTTTGAGAGTATCATCAATAATTACTTTCACATTTGCTCTATACGTATGCAAGGAATTATTAGCCCTAACAGCAAATTTGTTACTTTTGCTTTCATTCTCTCTCTTCCATTTTTATTGCTTAATGCTTCCTCTTACTTGAGGTTTTCATTATTTCTTGCCTAATTCAACAGTAAAACTGGCTCTTAACTGACCTTTCACTTCGGGAGTACATCTTTGTGTGTGTGCATGCTAAGTTACCGCAGTAGTGTCCAATTCTGTGCGACTCTATTAACCACAGCCTGCCAGGTTCCTTTGTCCATGGTGATTCTCCAGGTAAGAATACTGGAGTGGGTTGCCGCACCCTCCTCCAGGGGATCTTTCCCACCCAGGGATCAAACCCACATCTCTTACATCTCCTGCATTGGCAGATGTGTTCTTTACCACTAGCACTACCTGGGAAGCCCAGTACATTTTTATGTCTATTTATTTCCTTAGCACACACTGTTATGTGGAAAGATCTCTCTGAAACACCTCAGCCTCTATTAGCAGAACCAGTGCATTTCAGGTTCTATCAATTCAGAAAAGTCAAACAACACAGAAGGGAAGAGCCTTCTGCACAGATTTGGAGAATAAGTTCCCCTCCATTCAAGCCTGTTCCTTTAAAGCTTCAATCAGATATATACTTCTTAAGATTTGCCAAAATTCTTGTTTTTTTTACTACACCTATTTACCTAAGCCCTAAGTATTAAAAGCTCTGTATGTCTAGACTCGAATGGATTTTAGACTGATTCTGTCAATTAATCAAGATACAGAAAGTTATTAAGGATCCCATACCCACCTTCAGCTAAAATACACAGGAACTGAATTTCCTAAGTAACTAAACCTGTAGTCTAGAAAAATCTTTTAATGTAACGGAATTTTGAACACAAAAGCATCACCAAATAAATCTTCCAATAAATGGAAGAACATCTCATGTTCACTGACCAGACTTAATGTTAGGGTGGCAACACTCCTGAAATTATCCACAGATTCTACACAATTCCCACTGAAATTCCAGCTGACATTTTGCAGAAATTTGACACAGTATTCCTAAAATTCAAATGGAAATGAAAGGAACCAGAATAACCAAAACAATCTTGAAAAGACAAAATAAACTTGGAGAACTCACACTTTCTGATTTTAAAACTTAACTACAAAGCTACAGTAAAGAGGGCAATGTGGTACTGGCATAAGGACAGGAATATGGAACACAAAAGAGAGTTCAGAAATGTTAATAACCCTTACATTTATGTTCGACTTTTGCAAGGATGTCAGGACAATTCACTGCAGAGAGAGAACAATCTTTTCAACAAATGGCATTAGGACGACTGGATATTCACAGTGAAGATGAACTTCTACCTCACACCATATACAATAAGTTAACTCAAAATGAATTAAAAAGACCCAAATGTAACAGCTAAAACTATAAAACTCATAGAAGAAAATTTGGACACAAAACTGTGACCTTGGATTAGGCAATGGTTTCTTAGATACAAGGACAAGACAGTAAGTCACAAAAAAAGAGATAAATTGGACAGCAAAATCAAGTATCTTGTGCCTCAAAAGACACCATCTAGAAAGTGAAGAAAAACCAGAGAATGGGAGAAAATATCTACAAGTCCTATCTGATAAGAGTTGTATCCAGACTATATAAAGAACTCTTACAAGTCAATAATCAAAAGAACAATAAGTCAATTAAAAAACAGGTGAAGGATCCAAACAGACATTTCTCCAAAGAAGAAACACGAATGGCCAACAAACAAATGGAAAGATGCTTAACACATTATTAGCCATTCAGCTCAGTTCAGTTCAGTCGCTCAGTCATGTCCGACTCTTTGCAAACTCATGATGCAAATCAAAAACACAATGAAATACTCTTTAATATCCATTAGGACTGCTATAATCAAAAAGACGGATAGTAACGAGTGTCTCATCAAGAATGTGGAGAAATCACAACCTTCATACACTGCTGGTGAGACTGTAAAACAGTGTAGCCAACTCTGAAAACCAATCAGACAGGTCCTCAAAATGTTGAAAATACAGCTACCGTATGCCCCAGCAATTCCACTCCTAGGTACATACCCAAAAGAAATGAAAACATATGAACATATAAATACTTATACACAAATATTCACAGCAGCATTTATTCATATGAGCCAAAATGTGGAAACCTTAATGTCCATCAACTGATGAATGGATTAATAAAATATGGTCTACCTGCACAATGTAGTATTATTTGGTAATAAAAAGAAATTAAATGTTGATACATGCTACAACACGGATGAACCTTGAAAACATTACACTAAGGCAAAGAAGGGCTTCCCTGGAAGCTCGATGGTAAAGAATCTGCCTACAATGCAGGAGATCAAGGTTTGATCCCTGGATTCGGAAGATCCTCTGGAGAAGGGACAGGCAACCCACTCCAGTATTCTTGTCTGGGAAATCCCATGGACAGAGGAGCCTGGCAGGCTATAGTCCATGGGGTTACAGACAGTCAGACACAACTGAGCGACTAACACTATAAGGCAAAGAAGCCAGTCACAAGAGACCATGTATTTTCCGATTCCATTTATATGAAATGTCCACAAAAAGCAATCTATATTGTCAAAATGCAGATTAGTGGGTAGTGGGGGTAGGGGATAACTGCTAATGGGAACAGGATGTTTATGATAACAGGAACGGGATGAAAAGGTACTAAAGTTGACTGATCTCTAAATTTATCCCAATAAGCAGAGTATGTATATACATAATAATAAATCCAATCCGAGGGAGCCTGACAACAGCCACTCTCATCCTGCTCTAGCCTGCGCACATAAATAAATACATTACCCTTCTACAAATGCATCCAGTTTAGCCAGTTCATCCGACAAACCAACCAGGACATCAAGTGTGCCAACCTAGAAGGGAAATACAACATTTTATTACTTAGATTTCATCCTTTTTTAAAAAAACAAGGTAGTATAGCATCTTGATTCGAAAGGCCTGCAGATCTGAAGTTCTCCATATTTTATTTCATAAAATGCAAGTGTGGTTAAAAAATGCAAGACATTTCAAAGCTATTTATATGTACAAGATAATCCTCTAATTTATGAGGACAACCATTTAGATGTGAAGATTCCACAAGAGCAGGCCCGTGCCTCTACTTGTCCTGCCCAGTGGGAGGGTTCATTTGAAGCTGTGGTTTACCTTAGCAGCTTTTAAACACGGACCCACGGCTGTGCATCAGAGGGTCTTTAGTTCCATTTGGGTTTTTCTGTCTTTTGTTTTAAAGGAATCTTTATTATCACTAGCCATGCCACAGGGCATGTGGGAACTTATTTCCCAGACCCCGGATCATCTGCGGCCCCTGTAGTGGAAGCGCCGAGTCCTAACCATTGGACCACCAGAGAACTCCCTGTAATTTAATTTGTACACAAAACCATGCATGTATAAAGGAGCATGCTTTACAAGAAATGCCCACAGTCTACAGGAGTGTATCAAGGGGCTTCAAGTATTTCTTAAATGAGTGCTGTGTATAACTGTCTCATTTGGTTAACCAGCAAAATATAAACATCATGATCTTTTCCATCCATTACAAAAGTTCAGTCAACTGATTACTGGCAGTCCGCTTCACTTAGAGGCTGCTAGGCTACTGATGCTTAATAAACGTTAAATAGATAAACTGCATTAAATAACTAGATTTGCCGAGAATAATAAAGAGATGCAATGGTAAAACAGTTACAATATCATGAGTATTACATGAATAACAGAAAAATGTATTCACTGTGATATTTAAGAATACATATTCCTAAGATTTCTCACTTCTAAAAATCTTATTTGTGAAAGTAACACATCAAGTATTTTCACAAGATTTCTCATTAAAATTTAAATTATACTTTAGAAAAGCACAAAAGTTTAGGGGAAAATGTTACTTTGTTTTAGTAATTTTCTTCAAAAAAAAAAATCTCAATTTCCGTGTTATCTAAAATCTGAAAATTAGAAAGAACAAGGTAAGTTGTAAATTATGCCAATCCATAGAGTTTTCTCTTAAAAGAACCTGGGTATCTCATTTCGACCAAAAGGAGAGCAGAGACAGCTGTCCTTTCCTTCACAATGAGCTACTCTGCGCAGCACAGGCTTACCTTTAAGTCAGGAATGTTGAACTTTGAAGAAACTGCAAGGTTATTGTTCTTCGTAGTTGCCGCATGCAATTTCTCCCATGTTTGCTGACATGTTTTCTCCCCAGGAGCTGATATAAGCCAGAACTCAGTCATATTGTTTACCAGATATTTCCTCCAAAATTAAGACTCTGAAATGTAAAACAAAACAAACTAAAAATACATTTACTACCACTTGTTTCTAAATTATTTCAGAGTGATAAGCACAGCTTGTTGCAAAATTGATTCAACAGTGGCATACAATCCTAAACAAAGTCAAATTTACTTACCTGGATATAAGTCCATATAAATGGGAAATTTACGATACTAGGAAAAAGTGATGATAAAGACCTAACACATGAAGCACACAATTTTGAAAAAATTACCCAACATCCTAAAATGGGAGCTAGTCAAGAAGGGAGACTACCAAAAATGTCGGCCACCAACAGTTTCAATCCCCCAAAGAAGTTGAAGAGTCACCAATTAATGGGTTTATCTTAAATTTTTAAAATAAAAAACCTAAATAGGAAGTGAAAAACCATACATAACTCTGACCTTTGAAAAAGAACTGAATCAATGTGCTTCAACAGTAGCCACCAAATAAATTAGCCACATCTGGTTTAGCAAATCCTGCAAATTCAGCCAAATTCTAATCCCTAGTCAAACTAATCTCAATTCCTAGCATATACTTAATGGCCATCAACCACTGACAAATTTGCACACATACAAAAATACTGCTAATCAGCCTTGTAAATCAGTCTTTTATTTAAAATATGCCTGGGAGGGGTGCATAACATACAACACTATTGGATCTGAGTAACAGGCTGTGGCTCTCACTTTCCAGAATTCCATTAAACACAAAACCCTCTTCCCCATTCTCTTTCCTTCTCCCCTTTACCCTCCTTCCTCTCTATGTCTCTCTCACATACACACAGAAAAACAAAGCCCAAAGCCAAATCTCTTGGGAATGTAAGTAGGTAAAGCACGAAAACACAAAATATAAAAGAACTCAATATAACAGTATCATTATTTCTACTTTAATATGCTTTCATTATAACCAATATAAACTCTCTACTACCACAGCTTGTTTTTAAACCTTTCCTGAAATTTGGAGTCTTAGATAGAAGATTAACTGTCTTACAAAGTTGTCCTGATAATAAATCAAATAACGAATGTGAAAGAACTCTGCAAATTTAAAATTCCTTTAAAATGTAAAGCATGATAGTTAATTACAATGGACTTTCCTAATTTTAGAAGCCCACTGTAATTAACCCTACCTAGTCATTACACAATTGAAGGTGATCATAGATGGCATTCTATATACTTGTTTCTTTCCTAACTTCCATTTTAAGAGCATCTAGCATATACTAGGTACTGCTCTGAATGTCTTATACATTGTCATCTTAATCTTCCTAACACCTCTATAAGATACATATGATCCTTTCCATTTACAGATTAAAAAACATACTCAGAGAGATGGGACTGATAAAAGTATAGATGCCGGTACTAAATCAATCTCTCAAGAATCCTACTCTAAGATGATTTTTCCAACATTACTGGGAAAAAAAAAAAAAGCTGCACTAAGAACTACACTCTCTCAAATGGCCAAAAAACTAAACAGAGCTTTTATAGTGATGGCAGGCCCAGACAAAGCACTCAGCCTGGCCAGAAAACCAGTCTTTGATGACACATTTTTACACCTCCTCTCCTTGAAAAACGGCAGGTGATAGAATCAATTTTTAACGTCCTCCTTATGACACTGTTAAATTATCTAAACTGCAGTTTCTTCAAAGACTGTAACAATATGAGCTATTACAGTAGATGTCACTATCATTCCACTTAAGAGTTCTAGAAACTCTTTTTCAGCCAACAGGTTTTCAAAAGATTTCAAGAAATAAGAAGAGGACCACATTTTCTCATTTATTAAAAAATACCTGCCCAACTTACTGAGTTTTCATTAGGGTTGAATGAAATAATGTCATGTTATTTCTAAACAGAACTAGAGTCCCCTCTGGCCTTCAAAGGCTGTTCCCAGTATCCCAAGTAGGAATTATCTTGTTTAGTTACTATGTTATCAATGACACTATAATGCAGTTATCACACTATTCTGCTTCATTTTTTTCATAACATTTTTTCCTCTCCACCTGACTGGGAAATCGTGAAGAGCCAAAATCATACCTTCTTTTCTAACGCCCTGAAAGCCCAGCATATACAATTCCTGTCAACATCAGGGACTTTATAAATGCTTGTTTTATGATAAAATGAAATATATAAATGACTCTGAACCAATCAAAAATTCTGACTGGAGGGAAAAAAATAAGAGCCATAAAAATATTTAAATGTTTTTCAACTTTTTTTTTTTAACTTAAGAGTCTTTCAGAAAACAACCCTAGAGTAACAGACATTAAAGATTGGTAAAGCTGCAAGTAACTAAGCCTTTGTCTTTCATTATTTTAAGTGTGAATACAGAAATATAAAAAAGAGGGATTGAGAAAGAACCTCTAGGTACTTTAGGCAAAGCAATGGCCTCATTTCTTCTATCCTCTGGTCAAAGCAAACTAACTATACAGGAGGAACCTGATGGGAAAGACAAGCTACTGAAGTATCTAAGGATAAATGTAAGAACTGCTCATAAGAAAAGCATCAGTAAGTCTTCTGCAAAATCCCTGTTTTTAAACAAATTCTTTATTTTTTAAACAACGCCCACTGTTATCCAGTCACTTAGACAAGTCACATAAAAAATTTTCTCTTTGAAATTTAAGTACAATTTAAGCTCAGTTCCAACAAACTAATCTCTGCAGATGAACATATTTGTTTTTGTGTCGGGGGAAAGGGATGGTAAAAAAAAAGAAATCCATGTTACAAAACACATGCCCCCTTCCTCTCTGAGCTGCACAGAAACAGAGTCAAACCTGTCCAAAAAGTCTGGACACTTCTACCTCTGTTGACTGCTTCAACTCACTGGTTTTTATGCCTAATTATTTCCCTTTGTTTCTTCTTGTATTTTGGAAGTCAGGCATTAACATAGGCAGATCACATGTTAAACAAAAGAGAAAATGATTTAAAAGGCATTCCTCAAAACTCAGATCAAGGTTTAAGGCCCTCTGTTATATGTGTGCATTCGGCTGCTCTCTGGGTGGTCTTTTTTAGATTCCAGTTTAGATGCTGAACACTCCCAAAGTGTTAGCTCCAGCCTAGGCTCCTCTGTGCATCCAGAGCTGTACGCAACAAGTTTCGGCTACAAGACATTTCCACCTGAATATCTCAAAAAACAAAAACACATTTCTAGTCAAACTCCTAATCTCTTCCCCCAAACCTGGTCCTACTTCAGTGTTCCCTTAGCACACTAGTACCCTGCAATACTGGACAACCATAATTGTCAAATGTCATCAAGATAGTAGCCAATACTTCTTGCGCACTTCCTACCTACCAGCACCAGTTAAAACAGTTTATATGGATTAACTCATTTAGCATACTGGATGGACAGCAGTTATACAAAAAGAATCCAAGGCACAGAAAGTGCCTCATAAACTATGACAGATATATTACAGTGCATTATCATGTCATATATCACATGAGTGTCATATATCACATGCTTATATGCTAAGCATGAATGTGCTATATGCTCTCATAGCACCTTTTCAATATTTCCTTGAGAGACACTTTTTATCAATATCTTTCTGCCAAATAAACTGCACATTAGAGGAGGTGGAAAGCATGAGAGGTTTTGCTCACAAGTGTATTCTCAGTCCTGGCACAGAAGCTGGTATGCAGAACCTCGAAAACTGTGTGGCGAACATTCCTGAATGAATACATGACAGTGAAGATGGAACAAGTAACAAAGTACCTTGCTTATAAACTGGTTTGGTCCCCTTTACTTCCTTTACATTAAAAGAAAAATCAATTTCACTGAAGTATCACTTATATACAATAAAATGTACCCACAAGAGCACATGAGATGAGTTTCTGACAAACACATACACCTGAGTAACCACCACCAAAACCAAGGTTAAAAACATTTCTGTCTTCCCAAACCCTTCCCTCACACGTAGGGTCGGTCAATCCCAACCCCACTGCTGACCTTAGGCAGATGCTAATCTGTTTTTTTTTGTCGCACTCTAGGCTCATTGGGCCTGATCTAGAATTCCAGTGTAAATGGAAGTCCACACTGCATTCTCTTTTGTATCTGGCTTCCTTTGCTCAGCGTGGCTCTGATATTTGTCCATGTCCTGTGTAGCAATTCATTCTGTTTTACTTCTTAAGTGTTCCGTTACATGAATGTACTATGGTTTGTGGTTCCACTGACCTGTTGATAAGACATTTGGATTGTAACCGGTTTTGGGCCACTAACAACAAAGAACATTCCTTTTCAAAGCTTTTGTGAAAATACATATTCACTTCTCTTAGATAAACATCTGGAAGTAGAATTTCTGAGTCAAATGATTAATCTACATTTAACTTTATAAGAAGTCACCAAACTTTTCCAAAGTAGATGAAGTATTTTGCATTTCATTAGCAAGATTCACAGTTCCAGTTCCAGCTGTTTCACATGCCCACCAACACTTAGTGCTGTAAGCCTTTTTAGTTTGAGCTATTCCAGTGGGTTGTAGCTCTCATTTCCATGATGGTTACAGTTCAGGATCTTTTCACCTTATCAGCCAGTTGTATCTCTTCTTTGTGAAGTTTCTATTCAAATATTGTGCCCATTTTTTTTTAATCCCATTGACCTTACTGAGCTAGTTTTTCATATGATCCTGGGGTAATTTCTTTGAGAGATGTGTGTGTATAAAACATATATTCTGTGCCTTGCCTTTCCTTAATGGTGCTCTTGAGTAGAAGTTTTCAATTCTGATGTCCAGTTTATCAACTTTTTCTTTTATATGATTCGCTTACCCCAGGGTCACAAGGATTTATCCTGCTTGCAGTTCAGAGAGATTCCTGAACCTTTGTTTAGAGTTTTCAACAATTCAGGACAAAATTCATTTTCTTCAAAAATTTTTCCTGCTTCTCTTTCCCTTTTCTGAGACAGAAATGGCATGTATATTAAACCACCTGACATTGTCCCACAGGTCACTGAGCTTCCTTTTTTTTTTCCAACTGTTTTTCTCTCTACACTT